TGGACATGTTCTGTGAAGACCAGAGGTTAAGAGGTCTGTAAGGAATCTCAGTCTGTTCTTTGTCTCCTAGGTGGGGGAAAAGTCAATCCGAAGAGCTAGTGATCACTGGTTTACATGTGATGGTCATGCTGTGCATCTCTTTTGACCATTAATCTTGATTACTTGCCCCAAAATTGACAATCTCCTTGGAATTGTCAATAAGTGTTCTTTTGTTTAAATGCTGTGAGCTACTCAAAGCTGTTAGTTGGTGGGCTTGCTTCAGGCTTGTGGCACCAGGATCTGATTTACGAACATCCTGTGTCTTGGGCCTCTGTGGAATTCGGCTCCTCGTGTTTCAACTATGATCTTGATCAAATCTTAAATTGTCTGATTCGTTCTGATACCCTACACTGCTGTCACAGCATGTGAGTACTAAACTAAGTTCTCATTCACACACAAGTTTACGTTAAAAACACATGAGTTTATAAAGATTACTAGAAACCCTGTTGCTGAAAAAAAAAACTACAACGTTTATGATTGTGTAAAACAGTATTTTATTTTATTAATATCTGTAAAGAGAAAAAAAGGAAGTGTATAAAGTTCAATTAAAAACTCATTTAGAAAAGTTATTTAATTTAATAAGTTGAAGATTGGTCCAATTAGACGAATGGAAAGTTAGGGTTAGGGTGGAGCCGGGACAGGGATGATGCAACACTTTTTTCCAAGAGAGAAGCAGCTGATGCGATCCTGAAAAAGAAGAGAAAAAATTGAATTTGAACGAACAAACGAACAGTTGTATCAGATAAATAAATGATAAATAAGATTTTAAGATAAAAGTGTGGATTGAACGTCATAAGTCAATGACCACGGGTGAATGCTAGCGTGAATGCTACGGGGAAGATACAGACTTGAAGTTGAAATTTTGCCTTTCTGGAAATTTCATAACTGAAAACATCGAATTCTCTTGGCTGGGTCTTTTCTTTTTTCCCTTTTTTGTCCTTTCTCGTTTTCTTTCTGTTTTCTACTTTTTCATTATTTCCTGAGTTGGACGCTGCCCGTTTCCTGGAC